GTAAAAAGAATTTTGTATGTAAAATCCAGTAATTCACCTCAATTTTGTCCTTCTCAAGATGTACCTATTTATACGATCTAGACTGCCTAAGGCATCAAGACCCATTAGCTACAACTCACAAACTTGATCCATACTGTGTTACGTGCCTCTTGTAAAGCGATTTTCAAAGAGACAATAGTTGAATCAAATTAAATCAAAAAACATCAACACAACATAGTCCATGGGTTCGACTATTATGCCTTATTTATATCATCTATGTTTAAGGTTATCTGCTATCTACATTCCAAACTCTGTTATCCTTCTCAAGATGTACCTATTTATACGATCTAGACTGCCTAAGGCATCAAGACCCATTAGCTACAACTCACAAACTTGATCCAGACTGTGTTACGTGCCTCTTGTAAAGCGATTTTCAAAGAGACAATAGTTGAATCAAATTAAATCAAAAAACAACATCAACACAACATAGTCCATGGGTTCGACTATTATGCCTTATTTATATCATCTATGTTTAAGGTTATCTGCTATCTACATTCCAAACTCTGTTGCAATCCTTATTATTCAGTTATTCTTCTTCATTAGTCCTTTTTCCTGGAATATCATTATGAAACATGAATATTAAATACCAATATAAAAATTGGAAAATCCTCATACAAATCCTGAAATCCACCCCCACCGCACTGTCACTGGAATTCTGGAAATACCAATTACCATTAACCAACTACAGAAGCAAAAGAAATTGACAAAGTGTGATTCACCAGCAGCCTCAACAATTTTATATGTAATAATTCTTAGGCTTACAGTCACACGCATAACTTTTTCAATTTTATGTATATATAGCTATTGAATTTTCCATGTCGGCACAACATCTTCAAACAATTGTCCACCTCTTCTTCTTTAGTTTCCTTGAAAAATGTAAATTGTGGGTTTGTTACCTCAACGCAACACTTCAACAGGAAGACGAAGAAGAAGTACATAGTTATTCGGATAATCGGATTTCTAGCCGGTGCTTCTGCTGGCAGTCTTCAGGGATTGTCAAATGACCAATTGGTATTGAAGATTGTATTTTTAGCTTCTCTCTTAGTCTCACATTTTGAACGGTCATTCATCTAATCCTTTTCTATTTAAAGGATTTTTGAAGGTTTTGTATTGATATGGTTTTTGGTGGGCCTCTTTATTATTATTATTATTATTATTATCATTATTATTATTATTATTATTATTATTATAAGACCCCCTTAAAATTTGAGGCCCAAATTGCATTGGGCCATGGCCAGTCCTGGTATGTAACATGTCATTACGTATATCGTTTGGAGTGTATATGGTACAGAATGAGGTATACTTGTACTTGATGTAAGATAACACTATGGATGTTGACACTTGCATGTGATATCCTAAAACTATGCATATCCAACTACACTCTTCCTATGAACACTTAAAAAGATATTCCTTCTTGTCTGATCGAACAACCATAAATTCGAGCATGTTTTGTATGGCAAAAAATGACATACTCAATTTTAGAATCTCTTTATCACGAAACATTCTTCCATCTTCTACATTTCTAGCATCAGGAACGGATACAATTGTGACTACATGATCACTATAACCTGATGGTTTTACCATTGCTTCGTATATTTGATGATATATCATCCTGTAATGAAAATAACTCACTACTAGACTGTATGTTAATTGCAACCAGCTTAGGAAATGAAAAACTAACAGACCGTTGTCCAATTTCTGTAGCTGTCACCTCAATACTTATGGGGTATTTGGAAAGGTCAAGATCTATATCTTTCAACATCATGCACAACATCACATTACTATCACTATTTATTCTAACCAGAGGCAAATTAATGTTCAATACATACGTCATTGTGATTGCTACCTTAATAGGATGCAAATCGAACCCAGTCATAACCATGTCCACAAGTTTTATATAAGACAATTATGATCAACCAACATCAATGATGATTGTGCTCTATACTACAAGCAAACATGTATATAACCCATTTCTACAATAGTTCACTAGAATAATGACAAGCAAAACTATAACTAAAAGTTACAATTAATTGAAATTTGCATTCGAGATAATGGACAATATTGATCATAGAGATAAATTAAGGTCACAAAGACATATTATGGTATTCAATACCGTACTTGATGCGCTTAATTAATGTTACATTCATGACACAGACAAATTTTGGTCACATAGTTATTCCAATACGCGTTAAACAATAATGGACCGATAGATAGGTCTCAATCCACATGTTAGTTAACCCGTAGCCTCATATATGATATCTGGTCGCAATTTATAACTACGATAAAAAATGGATGCAGCAACCAATAATGCGTAATATGTATTTGTGACCAAAAACACATCAATCCGATCAAATATGCATCATGTAAATTGCGATAACTAATATAATTAAAAAAGACACAAACTTATATCGGTAACCAGTAAAATCACTTAGCAGCAACGATGCAAAATTTATACTTCCTTCAACTCGTCGTACAATTGATTAAGATTTGATTTCGAAATTTCGACGAATATGACTTTCGTATTCCGATAAAATTTCCAAATTTAGTTGCCAAAGGTGGTAATCGCTAAGATTTGCGCAATATGGGTCTTCATGGTTTTTGTTCAATCGTCACGATGCAGTATTTTGGAGAGTTCTGTTCGAATGGCAATTGAAAGCTTGATTTTAGGAACTATATATATATATAGATTTCTATGATCAATAGTGTCCATTATCTCGAATGCAAATTTCAATGAATTGTAACTTCTAGTTGTAGTTTTGCCTGGCATTATTCTAGCGAACTATTGTAGAAATGGGTTATATATATGTTTGCTTGTAGTATGGAGCACAATCATCATTGGTGTTGGTCGATCATAATTGCTCTTAATAAACTATATAATTTTTTACTGTTCTATGCTCTGAAACTAATTCGTAGCAAAATTTTGAAAATGACAAGTAATAAAATTTTGTGGTAAGAAGAAAATGGCAAGTAATAAAAAGTCTTTTATATATATATATATATATATATATTTTTTTTTTTTTTTT